GATGGCACCGGCCGTGGCGACGGCAGCGACTACGGACGGCGCTTCGAACGTTGAGCAGGGCAGCTCCTCGTCGCCGGCGTTCGGCCCTGGCGATGCTAAGGTGGCCTCCGACCCGGGCTCCTCCCCGACGTCGAGGTCGTCCCCCTCCTCCTCCTTGCTCGGCGCCCAAAGCAGCTCGTCAAACAGCGCGCGCTCACCGGTGAGGGAGGACGGTGACACGGCCGCACGGAAGGGCCACGCGCTAAGGCGGTGCCTGCGCAGGTTTGCCAGAAATCTGCAGCGCGCCGGTGCTGCGGACGAGCGGCCAGACGGGTGCGGGAGACGAAAGGGCCGGGCGACGAAGCCGGACGGGAGGGTCGCCGCCGGCGAGGACGGCACCACCCGGACGAGGGAGGAGGCCATCGCGAGCGCGATCGCCTACTGCAAGGAGTCGAGCCGGCAGCGCTGCAGGCGGCCGTTGGCTCCCTCGCCCAGCTTGGACGGCTGGCTCCTCGTTCGTCCGGAGGAGGAGATCGGCACCAGCGCCACGAGCGCCGTCTCGCCCTGCGAATGCGAGGCGCAGGGCACCTCGAGCGCCGCCGCCCCCCACCACGGCCACGCGGCCTGCGACGGTACGTGTTGTCAACCGATCCGTCGGTCGATCTGCTCTGCTGCACCCGTGCACGTCTAAACCATCGTTGATCTCCTTCGTGCAGCAGAATGCGGCGGCGGCAGGCCGTCGACGGTGGAAACTCGGCGAGGTCCAGCCAGGGAGATGGAAAAGGGTGACGCTGTCGACGGGCTTGACGGGGACGTCCTTAGGATAACGAGTTACTTCGCCGCCAAATATGTGCGCGTGGTGCGCCATTGAAGAATAGCTCGGGGTCCGTCTCACATGAGGCGAAGCAAACAGTTTTTCGTAATCTAGTGGACCTTGTCTTACGTACCTTCGATCTTGTATTATCTGTCCATATCAGTGTGCGAGTAGTAGTAATATGATTGTAGTAAGATCTGTCCATATCAATTGTCGATCTTATTCTTATATGATATGATGGCTTGCAGCGTTCCTAAGATCTAACGAGAATCTCCTGGAGTTAACGACACAATCGTTCCATTGTTTCTGAACCAGACTGCAATTTTGAAGCTTAATTGGCAAAGGAGTTAAGATATAGACAATCCTATTTATTCGAACTAGCTTTGCTGAATCGAAAGAAAAGAGACAACTTGGATTCAATCAAAAGAAATTAGAAGATTTTAGTACTGGCATGTATTCACCTCAATCAAAAGAAACTAGGTCACCACTATATGCTCTGTTTGTACTCTACACATGAGGAATATATTCACCTTTAACTTCTTTTTTTGCGGAAATAAGACTTTCATTCATCAACCACGGTCATTACACTCCAGATTTTACATAGAGCGTGAATTCCATCCGGTGCATGCCCATGCACGTTGAATTATCAAATGAGTATAAAGTTGGTCTTTTTTTTAACTACTACACTCCAGATTCTCGAGCATGGAGATAGGCGAGTTGTAGACCAAGAGCTGGTACAAATATAGGCGAGTTGTAGACAAGGGCTGGTGGGCAGCAAGAAACGCATGCACACCAAAGAACAAATCTGAGTCACATGCCTACTTCTATTGGTTTCTACAAAGAGCGGCTAGCTTAGATCTTAGACCAGTCGGTCACTGTCGAGGTCGCCAAGGTGATCTTACAGCACCGTCGTGGGGATTTCTCATATGATTTTATGTAGGCAAGCCGCAAGCGGTGGTGGTGATTGGCTGGGTGGTGTCGCTGCCTTGGGAGGAGACGAAGTGATGGTAAAAGTAAGCAGGATCCGATGATTCTTCCGTGGGGATAGCCAAAGTCAAGATGTCGACTACAGACTCGTCGCAGACTTGCAGTGAACCTGGATGCGGCGAGCCTGATTTGTGGATCGATGGCGGGTCTTGACTTTGTTAGGCTGGGATTGGATGGTTGCGGAGGGTGGTGTGCTTGGTTGGGTTCCCATGGAAGAATGTGGCCTCCTCGTGGATCTGGTCATGCCCATCCTAGAGAACATTGTGTCCCTAGCTCCCTCGAGGAGCAAGGACAGTGCAAGCGGCAGCAGGGGGTAGGGGTAGATGTGGGGAGGGATGTCGGCGGCTGCTCGAGGTCATCATGATGAAACTCTTGACGTCCCATCTTTATCAATGGAAGTGGAAGAGCACGAAGTCGAGATTGGATAGGAGTTTGAGTTATTTTTGGCACCGATCGGTTCCCCACTTTAGAGATGTATTTTTTTTTCGTGCGAGCAAACAGTGGGTTGATTCTAAAAGGGATAGGCACTTTTCAACAGAAGTGCATGACGGACCAAAAATATGACCTCATTTTATTCGTTTGATAGATATCGTATTATTCGTTGTTGTTCGTTCGGTGAAATTTCCTAATATTTGATTGTTGTGTTTCTAATTAGAGCACCCCATAATTACCCAATATGAGGGGATGACAAATGAAAGATACTGATTATAAATTTTGAAGAGCCCGTGGCAACGCACGGGCGTTATACTAGTTATTTGTAATTTTCCATATCAATCAAATAATCGCAACAATAACTTAACAATGCTCCACGCATATACCTGGCTATATCACAATGAAGGAACAAGTCATCCACATATTTTTCTCATCACAAAATAAGCAGTTATCGTTATCTATGCCTCCCTTTTACTGGAGTATTTAACAAAAAATTACCACAATTCGTCGAACCGTGCCTACAAGCTACCACTTTACAAATTTGCGCGGAAAACTACCATTTTTTCACTAATATATGACTAAAAACTAGCACATCGACTTAATGACTGATCAGCAAGAATTAAACTTGATCATGACATGTTGGGGCCCACATGTCATTCTTCTTCTCCCACGCGTGAGCTCCCCCTGCCATGGCGCCCTCGGCCTCTGCTCCATCCACCGCCTGCCATGGCGCCTCGGCCTCTGCTCCGTCCACCGCCTGCCATGGCCGGCCCCAAGCGCCTCCTTCCTACCTCGCCCGCAGTCCTCTTGCATCTCCTCCGCGACCCCTCCTTGATGCCAGGGCCGAGCTGCTTGCCTCCCTTGCTGTCCGCCACCACCGCCTCGCTCCTGCCACTGATGCTGCTGGCCCTCGCTGTCGAGTGCGTCGTCGGCGGCCTCCTCCTTGCCCCGTGCGCCATCTAGCTCCGCCGCCTCCCTCCTGCTGCTGATGCTGCTGGCCCTCGCTGTCGAGTGCGTCATCGGTGGCCTCCTCCTTGCCCCGTGCGCCATCCAGCTCCGCCTCCTCCCAGATCCTCCTGCCTGCGCCGCCCCATAGCTCTCCCGAGGCCATCACCCACCACCACCCCGCGACGCTTGTCCTCTGGACTACCACCACTAACGCAAGCACGTGAGTAATGGAGCCGGTGACTTGGCGCGGCCAGGTCGCGCTCCAGGCAGCAGCAGCTCGCCGGGGTGTTGCAGTCCAAAGAGCTATCGTCGGTGTGCTGGTAAGGTGTTTGTTGAAATGCCAAAGAGAGATAGAGAGAGGAGGAAGAAGGTGATGCTGACGTGTGGGGTCTCCTCCGCGCGAAAGAAGCCAGCTCCTGTCATAAGCGTGTTTAAAATGGACGAATCGGTTGATTTACAGACATGGTAGTTTTTAGTCATAGATGAGCAAAAAAGTAGTTTTCGGCATAAATTCGTAAAGTGGTAGTTTGTGGGCACGGTTCCACGAATTGTGTTAGTTTTTGGTTAAATACTCCTTTTACTGAGATTATCACTAGACCACATAGATTATCCCTAGGTAATTCGAAATTAAAGATATCCGTCACACTAGCGTGTTGCCGTTGAGTGATGATATATAAACCTCGTGTCTCTACCATTCCCATCCATGAGTGAACCTGCACTAAAGAAATCGTCCTTGTACGTTACCAGAATGGTGAGCTGTCACATGAGACAGATTTTTGAAGTGGATATATTTGTCACTTAGCAACTCCTGCCACTTGAGACAGATATGCGGAGGTGACGATGACAGGTTGCTGTGCACTGGACTACTAGAGCCCGAGCGACACATGCAATAACGACGTGAACATTTTTGGAGGTGACGACGCGGCAGTTTGATAGTATGTTCATGCATGTGTACACCCTTATTCGATGGTCACTTTCGATAAGGATCCAGCGCACTAGAACATCACCGAGACACCAACGTTGTCGTGGCGTGTAAAGTAATCCTGGCGTGAGCCTCAGTGCAGTTTTGCTTTAGTCACGCTGGACCAGCAGCGGCCGCCAGCGGATGGACGCACGCGCCGCTCCGATCGGCCGTCGAATATATATGCTGGAGTAGGGCGGAAGCCATCACTCTCTCGTACTGCATCTTGTAGAAGATCACGCAACGCAACAGCCTTAACAAAAATAGCAGTTGATTGAAGCAGGGTCCATCCATGCCATGGCGAACCTCGAGTCGTTAGCCTCACTTGCCGCCATCCTCATCCTCGTCCTCGTCGAAGTCGCTGTCCTGTCCTCGTTCGCGGCCGCGCAGCTGCGGCCGGACTACTACGCCAATGTCTGCCCCAACCTGGAGGGCATTGTCCGGTACTTCGTGAAGCAGTCCATGGTCAAGTCCCCCATCTCCGCGCCCGCCACCCTCAGGCTCTTCTTCCACGACTGCGCCGTCATGGTATGGCTATGTTACACATTAACGCAAGTAATTGATGGCTAGTATCATGCAAGACTGACAGACCGAAGCACATCATGCGTGCAGGGCTGTGACGCATCGGTCATGATCATCAGCCCGACTGGCGACGACGAGTGGCGGAACCAGGACGACTATTCGCTGAAGCCGGAGGGCTTCCAGACGATCCTGGATGCCAAGGCTGCCGTGGACAGCGACCTGCAGTGCCGCTATAAGGTGTCCTGCGCCGACATAATCGCCCTCGCCGCAAGAGAGTCCGTCTCCCAGGTAGTATTGGTCTAGCCAAAAGCTATGAAAATCCATAAATATCGTATATATACAGATATACTTGACAATTGACACGCATTCGTATATGATATACTTGATGTATACCCAGCCTTAATAACAAAGTAAAGGTTGACGCATATAGCCAATTATAGCAACAAATCAGTGAGCCATAACAAAGGCATAGCAGAAAATATCCAGCCACTATAAAGCAAAGCACGACATATAGTATATAGCTTTAGCGTGACGCTAAACTAAGGTCCAAATTTAATAGTGCTAAGTAAATTACACTATAGCACATTATTTGCAAAAAAATCAATTTAGTGCATAACATGTTGAGCTTTAATTTTGCGCAATAGCCCATTATTTAAAATAAAATAAAGTAGTAGGAGTCCTCTGCCATGAGACGACCATGAACAAATGTGTTGCAGAGCGGAGGGCCCAACTACACAGTAGAGCTGGGCAGGTACGATGGGAAGATCTCGACGACGAACAGCGTCATGCTGCCGCACGTCGACGACAACCTCGACAGCCTCAATTCCTTCTTCTATACCCTAGGCCTCTCCCAGATCGACATGATCGCATTATCAGGTACATGATTCATCTCATCACATCGTCGACTTCTGAATCTGATCACGTCGGCCGGCCTGTTGTTGACCACCATCTACCACCCCCTCAGGTGCCCACACCTTGGGAGCGGCCGACTGCGGCTTCTTCCAGCACAGGACCAGGGGCAAGGATCCGAGCATGAACCCGAGCTTTGACGCGCAGCTTCAGGGCACCTGTGCCAGACAGAACTTTGCGTTCCTGGATGACGTGACACCGGTGGGATTCGACAACTCCTACTTCAAGCTCCTGCAGAATGGCAGGGGCCTCCTGGGCTCCGACCAGGTGTTGTACACAGACCAGAGATCACGCGGTACCATAGACTACTATGCGTCCAACCAGGGCATCTTCTTCTACGACTTTAGCATCGCCATGACAAAGCTCGGCAAGGTCGGGGTCAAGACGGCCACTGACGGCGAGATACGCCGTGACTGTCGGTATCCAAATTAGATACTTATAGCATATGAAGATTGCTCATTGTCCAAACATACCGCTGTCTATAAATGGACTATAAAATGTGTAGGGGTGAATTCCATATATGCCATTGTAAATTTACGCCTACCCTCATATGTTATTCCAAATATGTCACTGAAATTTTGCAACATGTATACATATTACACTACTGTCGCTTGACTGGTAGTGGTCGTCAAGTGGCAGCTGAAAAATATAATTTCGCCCTTGGTCATATCTTGTGGTGATTTAGCCAAATGACTGAATTTTGCAGCGTAGTAAACACATAGGAACATGGGACCCGATCATAACTGCAATTCTGTGCATGACTTAGCTCACTTTTTAAAATTTCATTGATGGATAGTCCATATTCAAGAACAAATAAGATTCACTCCTTGTTAAACAATGATTTCACCATTTCATACGTTGAGGGAAGAACAGATCTGAGCATCAAGCACTCATCCAAAATCTCCACCCACATCCCAGGAATCAGTGTAATTTTGTACTCCCTCTGATCCAATTTAATTGATGCAGCCTCTATACAACTAGGCGAATACTAATTCAGATCGGAGCTCTCGAGGAGCAAGATGGAGCACAGTGGGGGTCGAGGAGTAGCACCGGATCGCCGTGTAGCTGCAGTGGTTGTAGGTGTGGCTCACACTGTAAAGGTGGAGCCCAACGGCGGCGGTGTGAGCTGATGTGTATAACCCTAGGCAGTCCTTGCTGCTTAGGGACCGGGCAAAGAGAGAATGCATGAAGCTGTTGCCGTCGTGGCCATGGCTGTTGCGCAGGAAGACGCCGAGCGTGAGATGGTGGAAGAAGCGGCCGGAGGAGGACCTTGCTAAAGCAGTGTGGGAAGAGGGCAAGGCCGGAGCGACCCTTGTACTTGCTGCCGCCACGGCCCTCCTGTGTGCCGTGCTACAAGCGGTTGCTCGAGGAGGCGATAGCTGGTGTGGGGGGAGGGGGACTTGGGCCAGTGGCAGGGGAGGGAGACCAGGGCCATCTGCTATAGGAGTGCGGCGGCCACCGGCTGGGGAGGGTGACCGGGACTGGTGGCAGCTGAAGAGGGAATGGCGACGACGCCTGCATCGTGGGAGGAGAGTCAAGGGAAGAAGGTTGTGTCTAGTGCGCGGGACATACGTAGGTTTTATTTTTCTTTTATTTCTTTCTGATAGATGGGTCCAGGGGAAAGATTGGGATTATGAAAATAATTTTTTTTCTAAAACACAGTATAGACGCGGGCGCTCATATACACACGCGTACACTCACCCCTACGAACACACATGCACACCCTATCGTTATGAGCACCTCCGAGAGACTGAGCTGACAAATCATCTTGAGATTGACGGAGTCACTACAGGCGCCTGGTAGTCGACAGAAACGTCTCCTCCTGAACGTGCATCACCGGAAATCCTGATATAAATCTAGAATAATATGAGCACCAGGATTTAAACCCTGATGGGCTGGGAATACCACTCTCCTCCTAACCATCCAGCACATGTTGGTTCGCAAAGAGGGGTCAACTTACGATACTGGAATATATGCACTTGGTGCAAAATTTTGATGACGTATTTTGAAGAGGGATTAAATGGCATATGGGGATATGGTAAAATTTTCAGTGACATATATGGAATTCACCCGACGTGTAATGGTCGATCTGTTCTGAATTATGTCAAGTTCATGCATGCCTTACTGACGGGTCTATTCCACAAGCAACCTTAAGAGCTTATTCTATACATGAAAAAAATTATCATGTACAACAAACGGACTGCTCTACTCACTTGACCTTGTTCCACAAGGGCATCAGAAAGGATTTCCCATGCCGCTACCGGGCATTTCATGTGCCATTTTGTTGATCTGCAACTTCCAGCGATGAAACCCTAGTAGAGCAATAAATTTCTCGAATATTGCACGCATGCCCGAAAAATGCGGGGCCTGGCAAATGTCATGCGGTTGCCCCCTTTTAGAGCACGAGAAGTTTCGAGGCCAACGGAGCAACAGAACCAGCACTTCCTGCACAAACCAGACACGTTCTCTCTTGATACCCAAAGGCTAGCTCAGAGACGGTGCGGTTTACAAGCGGCCTCAGGGAAAAAATAGTTGAATTAATAAAAAAACGCCGGCATCCACCATTTAGAAGATGGTCTATCATTTTGAATCTTCTCTGCCCGAAACAGGTGAAGATTCAAAGTGATAGTTCATCTTTTTAATAAAAGTGTAATGAATACCGAAGCTTACTGCGCATCTGGATTATCCCACTATTTAAACATGTTATTTTGCTTGACTCTAGGCGAGGTGGGACTAAAGTTTGATGGTAGCCTTATCTTTACTGAGAGCAACTCTCGGCAACAGTTCCTTTACAGAGAGCAACTCTCGGAACAGGTATTGTTGGATCATAAAATTAGTACATATTCATAATTGTATACCACCGAAGTACTTTCGACTTTTTAAACAGGTCATGTTGCTTGTCTCTTAGCGAGGTGGGACTAAATATTTGCCGAGAGGCACTTTCCGTAAAGAGTTGCAACCGTGACCATGCCGTTATTCGCCGCCGGAGGTGCCACGTGGCAAAACTTTGCCGTCTGGTGACCTGTTGGCCCTCGGCAAATAATGCCTTTGCCGGGTGTTGCTTTTTTGCCAAGTCATACTCTCGGCATTATCATGTGTTTGCCGAGTGCGGCTCTCGGCGTTCATTACTTTGCCGACTGCCGTGTTTTGGCTCTTGGCGAAAACTCTGACACCTGGCAACGAAATTTTCAGTAGTGTAGACATGTCGGTCCGGATGTTTGCGGGCGTTTTCGGGACGGTGTTGGAGATGCCCCAACCACGGTTTTTGGGACGGTTTTCGGGGCGGCGTTGGCTGGGTGTAGCGTCCGCGACGACGCAGCTTCCCAAAACCTCGTGCCCGGCCGTTCACATCCAAAGAAATCGTCCTTGACTTGTACGTTTCCAGAACGGTGGGCTGTCTGCCGCATGAGAGAGGGAGAGCTTGGAGTCTGCCACTTGAGAGTTTAGACAGATATGGGAGGCAGTGGAGTTCAAGCTGTGTGAGGCTTAAACCTCGTGGAGAGGCGTGGGCATGCATGTGTGTGCTTTTTTAGGATAACCTCGGCGGCAGATCCAGCCTGAGAAAAGGAAAATCCGGTTGTCACTTTCCATATGAATCCTGGGATGTCATGTGAGTGAGTGGGACACTCCGGGTCGAAAATTCTCCAGCACCATATGTATATCCAAGCATCCGACGTACTACTTGAACATCACCGAGACACCAACGTAATCGTAGCGTGACAAGTAACCGTAGCGTACGTGAGCTTCAGTGCATCTTTGCTTTAGTCACGCCGGACGGGCAGCGACCGCCGGCCGGTGGACGCGCGACTCCTACCGTCGAACAGTACCATTATTACCAGGACTGGAGTAGGGCAGAAGCCATCACTTTCCAACAGCTAATTTCGGAATAGTAGTATTGACAAAAGCAGCTCAAGGCGTCGGTCGATGCATTCCATGGCGAATCGCGCCGCCATCATCTTCGTCGTCGTCCTAAAAGTGGCTGTCCTCTCGTCGTCCGCAGCCGCGCAGCTGAGGCCGGACTACTACGCCGGCGTCTGCCCCAACCTGGAGGGCATCGTCCGGAGCTCCGTGAAGCAGTCCATGGTCAAGTCCCCCATCTCCGCGCCCGCTACCCTCAGGCTCTTCTTCCACGACTGCGCCGCCACGGTATTGGTACACATTGACGCAAGTAATAAATTGATGGCTGTTGTGCAAGACTGGCAGACCAACGCACGTCATGCGTGCAGGGCTGTGATGCGTCGGTCATGATCATGGGCTCAACCGGAGACGACGAGAACCCCGACAAATATTCGTTGAAGCCGGAGGGGTTCCAGACGATCCTGGACGCCAAGGCCGCCGTGGACAGCGACCCGCAGTGCCGTTACAAGGTGTCCTGCGCCGACATAATCGCCCTTGCCACAAGAGAGTCCGTCTCCCAGGTAGGATGACTATTCACTGAACGAATGTGTGACATGGCGTATGAGACAATCCTTAGATTCAATCTGTGAAAGTTTCAAGAAGTTTTGCCCGATGGATAAAAAACTACAAGTAAATTTTGGATTCACCAGATGGTGACATGGCGGTATGACGACTAAGGCGCTGACTTGGATGTTGATTGGTCAAAATCAGTCAAAAAAAAAGAGTAAAAAACCACCTCAAGGTTGTTGTTTGTCCGGTATGGAAAGTTGAGAGTTGTAAATTAGATGATTTTGTACCTTAGGGTTGTGTTTTGAACTTTGGAGGTAGTTTGAGGTTGTAATATGAACTTCTCTCTTCCCTGAACGAATTTGTCTGCACTCTGTAGAGCGGAGGGCCGAACTACACAGTGGAGCTCGGCAGGTACGATGGAAAGAAGTCGACGGACAGAAGCGTCAGGCTGCCGCACCCCGGCGACAACCTCGACAGCCTCAATGCCTACTTCTCAACCTTGGGCCTCTCCCAGACTGACATGATCGCCCTATCAGGTACGTGAACGTGATTCAGTTCAACTCAACTTGCCATGGACTTATGATTCTTGAATCTGTTGTTGAGAGTATAAGATGACCACCATATCGCATTGCTTCAGGTGGCCACACCTTGGGCGCGGCGGACTGCGGCTTCTTCAAGTACAGGATCGGTGGCAACGACCAGAGCATGAACCCAAGTTTCGACGCGCAGCTCCAGGGCACCTGTGCCAAACAGAACTTTGCGTTCCTGGACGACGTTACACCGGTAGGGTTTGACAACTTCTACTACCGGAACCTGCAGAACGGCAGGGGCCTCCTGGGGTCCGACCAGGTGCTGTACACGGATGAGAGGTCCCGCGGCACCGTGGACTTCTACGCGGCCAACCAGGGCACCTTCTTCTCCGACTTCGTCATTGCCATGACGAAGCTCGGCAGGGTTGGGGTCAAGACGGCCGCTGACGGCGAGATACGCCGTGACTGTCAGTACCCAAACTAAGGCTAGTCGACCCGTGCAACTGCACAGGCTAGGAGTATTGGAAAAAATAAATGAAGAGTTAAATCTCTGGAATAATATTTTGCTTTACTTAAAATGGAGAATTTAATTCATCTACTCTAGTAGTAGTTCATTACATACAATATTCAGAGTAATCTATCTATTTTTTAAGATTCCGTACAATCTATCTATCTATCCGAAGATGCCGTTTAGAGCTTGGGCTATGGGTAGCCCGATATCTTGGCTGTTCGTCTGCCTCGCGCCCAACTTCTAGCACGTCAGTCGGCTGTATTTCCGGCAGTATAGATCGGGTCGTGTTGTGTTGAGATTTTAGCACAGTCCACGGTTACACAGCCCTCGATAGTGCTGCCCAGATGTCCAGCTTATATGGCCCATATCTCCACTTCACTGAAGCACGTGGTATGGGCCCGCACTTTCATTTTGCCGTCAGCACCATCAGCCATGTGGAGAGAGAGAGAGAGAGAGCGAAAGGGGGAGAGGAGCGGTGACAGAACAGGGAAAGAGAAAGCATGCGGTGACAAAATAGGGAGAGAGAAAGCTTGCTGTGTAATAAGTATTTAGGCCAAAAATTTGTCTCGGGTCTATTAAAAACATGGCGACTCTCATTTTTGGGCTGGGCCAATGATGGCAAATAAACATCTTTTTCGTTTTGGATCTTTTGCGATAAAAGATGTGTCAGAGATTCGTTGCTGGAAGGATAAGTGGCTAGGAAATGTGAGCCTTCGAGAATAATATCCAGCTTTGTACCGTATTGTTTGCCATAAGAATAATACTCTTGCGCAGGTGCTCAATTCATCCCTGCCAGATATTGCTTTCAGGCGGGATTTAATTGGCCCTCGTCTTATGTCATGGCAAAATATGTTATCCAGATTGGAGTCAATTAACCTGACACAAGGACGAGATGAGTTTCCTCGGAGTCTCACTACGTCTGGGTCCTTGACAGTCGACTCGATGTACGGGGCACTCACGTTTTCAGACGTTCCAGTGGATAAGAATAAGAAAATATGGAAGTCCTAGATTCCACTAAAAGCTAAAATATTCATGTGGTATCTTAAGATGGGATCTTAGAAGGGGAGTTGTGCTAACCAAAGACAACCTCGCCCGCCATAACTGGCAAGGAAGCAAAAAAGTTTAGTTTTTGTGCTCACGGCGAGACAATTAGACATCTTTTTTTCAGCGCAAATTTACACATTTTACATGGTCAGTCATCCAAGTAGCGTCTAATTTGTATCCGCCCACAAGTGTTACCAATATGTTTGGTCATTGGTTGGACGGTATTCGAAATAGGTTCGAAAGGCTAATAAGGGTGGGAGCGTATGCCTTGTTATGATCGCTTTGCCTATGTAGAAACGATTTGGTTTTTGATAGCAAAAATTGCTTTCCATTGCATGTTATTTTCCGCTGTGCGTACTTGCTTCGTATGTGGTTTATACTACACCGAATGGAGTACCAACCGCTGTTCAAGGTGGTGTGTATGCGGTTGGAGCGGGTGAGCATGGAGATTTTTACCCAACATGGGTGGCAGCATAATCTCCTGATCGGTTCATCACCTCCCTCGACTTAGACATAGTGTCGGTCATATGATTCTTCTGTTGCCGATCTTCATTTTATTTCTACTAGACTATTGGTGTTGACTGTATGCGTCTTAGAAATGCAGAGGCCGGGTGTTGCTCATCATTTTTTGTATCCGCTAGATGCTTCGTTTTGAGTTAATAAAAATGCCCTTTACCAAAAGTGAAAATAAAATGAAACAGAAATGTATGTTAACGGAAACACCCTTCACTCTTTTGAAATAAACTGTTTCACATTTTCAAATAATCAATTCCACTATCGTATATTACAATTTCATTTTCTGTAGTTACTATTTCATAATTCTGAAATATGTTAGTGGCTTGTTTAAAAAGCATCACACCTATTTGAACTGACTTTTGTAAAATGACATATCTTACCCTTTTGAAGACGGCTATTTCACATTTCCAATTTTTGTTTCAAAATCATACATTACAAATTCACTCTCTGTAGTTATTTATCATAATTCTGAAATATGATACCGGCTTGTTTTGCAAGGCATCAATTTTATCTTCAGATTTGTGAAATGACACATTTGCACACACTTTGAAGTAAACTGTTACACATTTCCAAATAATCGGTTTCACAAATTATCGTTTCAGTTTCATATTTAGGTTAAGATATGTTTCTAGTGAAATAGGTTGGTTCCACGTTTTACTACTGGAAAAGGTTTATTTCAGTTTGTTTTTCAATTGAAATGTTTGTTTCATATACGAAATGTGAAACATTGAAATTTAAATGTGTTTGAAATATAGCCAACATCGGTCTAGTTCTAAAGGACTTGGGGCCAGGAGTTCAAATGTACAAATTATTTCAAATACGAACTTAGGTTTAAAAGATATGAATGTTTTCAATTGGGTAAGATGAAATAAAGTCACATGAATTTGTTTGCATGGGAGAGAGAAGAGGCAGGTGCATGCATATATCCATGTCTAACAAAAAGGAGTGCTCCGGGCCCGCTATACTAATGAAAATAGTACTCTGGTGGTGGACTGGACGCTGAAATACCAATATTTCATAAACATAGGGAAACTTTTTATACAACACACGAGTCAATGTACTGTACAAGGTCAGGTGTTACTGGCTGATTAGCTACCGCCAAAGAAAAACTTTTTAGGTAGCAGAAACGTGCAATTCTTCATTTTGACTCCAACTAACGGTAGTGGATGTGATTGAGATACTACAATTTCTTAGATAGGCGGAACAGCAACCGCCAAAGAAAAATTACTCGGGCGTGCGGGCGTGCATTACACGGATGTTCCCAGAGTCCTAGGTCTTGCTAAGCACCGCTTGCCGTGTATACAGACATCACAGAATATGTATATATACGTTTACATAACAAAGCTAGGTCAGCGACTCGTTGCCCTAGCTATTATATTCAAGCCGCGCGTCCAATCCGATCTGGTGACGATGATGAGGAGAGCAGCTCCTGCCCCGCCGCCGGAATCGGCAGAGATGGTGCAAGAGATCCTGCTCAAGCTGCCCACCAGGGACGTGATCCGCTGCTGTGGCGTCTCCAGGTTATGGCGCTGCGTCGTCGCCGATCCTAACTTCCGCAGCCTCCACGCCGAGGCCGAGGCCAACCACGTCTCCGCGGCGTCGGAGGCCCTGCTCGTCTCGATAACGCGGGAGTCCGACTGGCCCGACGAGGCCAGTTTCTTCAACGTCTCCTCGTCGAGGCCGGCGCTCATGCCACACCGTGTCATCATCCCTAACCCCTACAGCCTCTCCAACGTCTGCAACGGCCTTCTCTGCTTTGTGTGCCATGATGACTCCAAGGCGCCTGCATTCATCTGTAACCCCGTCACCGGTGAGACGGCGACGCTCCCAAGGGCGCCACGGCGGCACACCATGCACCATCACTTAGCCCTAGCGTTCAGCCCCTCCACCAAGGAGCACAAACTATTCAGTTTCACCTTCTCGGGCCCCAGCCTCATCCTTGGGGTCAACGTGGACCAGTGTGTGTACACCTTAGATGGTGTTGCTGCCGGCGGCGGATGGCGCAAGCGCTCGTACATTTCCGAGTGTGCTCCACTGCTCACATTGCCCCCGGTGCTTGTCCAAGGCAAACTCTACTTGGTCACAACCGGCCGTACAGAACCAGGCAAGCCGCGGAACCCTGATGGGTTGCTGGAGGTCGATGTGGCAACAGAGGCGCACCGCCCGTACCATCTCCCATTCAAGAAGGACGAGTACCACTCAGCCTGGGATCCACAGGTGATCGCCTTCGAGATGAGCGGGCAACTGGGCCTCGTCGTGGAAATCTTCGGGGAGAAGAAGACCTTGGTCCGGAAGCTCCAGTTTTGGGTCCTCGTCTCGAGCGGCGGCGATAACGATGTGAGCTGGAACCTGCGCTATAGCTTCTATGTTGACGACGAGTACCGTTTCTTACAGACGAGGAGCGCCTGGTTCGACGACCGCGAGATGACACTGTGCTACAAGGATTATAATGCCTTGTTCAAGCACAACACAAGAGGACACTTGCCTGAGCTGTCTCCTGACGGTGATTGCCCAAAATGTGACCGTCGACTGCGGCTGCCGCGAGCGCCGCATAATTGCCAATGGAACATTTTCGGGGGCTATCGCCCCACCCTACTCTCACCTCTCACATTGGCACCGTCGTCTTGGGACATCGAGGAAGAAAGGCAAAAGTTTGAGGAAGAAAGACAAGAATTCGAGGAAGGCCTGTTACATACACTGCGGCCGAGACGAAGAAAGACGAGAAAGATACGAATGAAAACATCGCACATAAAGACAAGAAAGGCGAAGAAAGACAAGTAACTCAAATCTGCTGGCAAGCATTACCTCTCTCCTAGTGCAGCATCGAACTCAATATTCATAGTTTGCCCTACATATTTTCATATTGTCTTCTTTTTTTAGAAATCAATATAGATTTCTTGGGAAGTTCCCAATGCATCATCAGTATAGATTCTTTGTCTAAGAATCAGTATAGATTTTCATATGGTCTTCCTTTTTTAGAAATCAGTACTACTCGGTATAAATTTAGCACAGTAGTATAAGCTACTTTTATTTACTCCTAGTACTAAATTGCATGAGTCATATTGGCTGATAGCTTAATTAAAATTTAATCATTCATGCATATTATTGTGTACTACATTAATATAAAAGAGACAACTCATACCTTCTCTCCTCATTAATTCTGTACTACATAGACAAAAATCTTTGAGTTTTCAACATCAAATGGCATCCCCAGATACTTAGAGAAAGATTCTGTTACACATTGAGAGCACATTAGCATGCAGACTTTCTGGACATCACTTCCCTTGCTGAAATAAGTGAAGAATTTGGAGAGATATATTCGCTGACCATATAAAAATACACAAAAGTTCAAACGGCAAACCCAGGCCATGAACAAGACAAGAAGGTTCCAAACAGCATGTAGCACAGCCCGT